TCGATGTCGCTGTGACGTGGTGCGTGTTGTTTTTTGGTTTTTTTTTTTTTTCCCAAAACACATTCTTGTCTCTTTTTGGTGGAATTTAGAAACTGTTGTGGAAAGGGGTTGTTCTGCTTTCTCTCTGAGTGGATTCCCGGTGTCCCCCCAGCAGTGATTGATCTGGTGATCATGTGCTTCAGGAGGAAGAGAGGCAAAACCTGTTATGTTACTGTTGGATCAGTTGCTAAATTCAGTAGCAGAGAGGTTGAAGGAATGTGAAGTGAGCGCAATTACACCTTGAATAAATCTGACTGCAGATTTGGTAATGTGTAATGTGAGGCTGCACCTTTCTTTAGGTAAACAAGTGGAAATATATAAGTTTATAGGGATTTAGGATTTCAAAAATACTAATAATTTTGACTGTCTTATATTAAGTAACTGAAATCTGTAACTTGTATTCCTGTGAGAAAAAAAAACAGATTTGAGGAGTACAAAGAACACGTGGTCCTCGCTTGCATACCTTATAGCCGCTTCTGTCCATGGAAACCTTTCCTATCTACTGCCCCCAAAATAATCCTGCTGTGGTGACGTTCCTGGTTCATAGAGTAATGCGAGTGTGCTTAGGGGTGTTAAAGATATCATCCCTACAGTATTACACATTGTTTTTAATACGCTTAAAGGATGGAAAGAATACTTTGGATACCACAAGCCTGGACTTCAGGGCTTCCACCTGAATTCCAGTAATGCCTGATGAAGGGGAAGACCTGTTGGTAAAGATCGAAGGATCTGGTGGTTTTTAAAATCTACGCTTCACAAATTCCAGGTTAGAAAAAAATGCTTATTTAATAGTGAACACCAGTCTTGATCTGCTTACCAGCAATGTTGGAATATAGGTAGGATAAAGAAGGTTGTTTTCTTCTCTCTTCTTCCATATGTCATGACAGGAGCCTGCTGTGGCGTTTTTAAAAAACTTAAAATTCGCAAAGTGAAAGAGCAAAAAGTAGAAAAAGAGTATTAAGAGCAATGAAACTGGATAATGGAAACTCTCCAATTCAAGTGAGCTGTGGGAGTGACTGGTGTGAACCCTCGGTGTCAGTATGATGGGGCGTAAGCGAATGTTGGAGTGCCACGGGCTCCCAGTGTTTGACATTTTGGGTGGGGAGGGTAACAACTTTGAAATTTTAGGTGTTATTACCAGTCTTAGTAATACCCAGAGCAGGTGAGGTGCAGTGAATTCCTTTGAGGCTGGAAGTCATGAAGAAGTGGCATAATCCTGTAAAACATGGTAGATCAAAGATAAAGATTTTGAAGAAGGATGACCTGAAAACAAAATGTAGATGTTTGAAAACTGGAAAATGTTGTAAAGTCCAAAGGAGGTAGATGAAAATAAGCCAGCTGTATAATTTTCTGATTTAGATACACAGTTGTCTTAAGGGTTTTTTTTCTTCCTAAGTTGTTTCTCAGGTGTCCAGTTTCCACCTCACTCTTACTGTAATATAGCAAAGGTCCAAAAAAAAATGTGTCGAATAGATGAAGACTTCAGTCGTTTGCTTATGCTAATACCATTTCTCTACTGATTTCTTCAAAGCTTATTGACTTCTAAAAAGGGGTATGGGGTATGTTTCTGGGCAAGATCCTCCCTGCTGCTTCCCTTCCGTCGTGCATTTCTTGTCTCCTTTTCAGTGTTAGACCACCTGTATCTGGCCATGGCTCCTTCTGTCTACCCTGAATCTGTCAAGAGTGTTATTTTTTGTGAACAGAAGGATTTTTCTTCAAATGAAGAACAGCCTTAGTTTTAATTTTTATCCCTTCTTCAGTCTTGCTTTGTCTAACTCTCTTAAAAAAATAGTTGAAGACTTCTTATGGCTAAATTAATACATTAACTCAGAACTCATCTCCGTGGGTTGTTTTCTTTTGATGATAATAATGGGGTTAGGTTAAATTTGTTATTTGTAACTTAAATTACTTCTCAATATCTGCCCTGCCCTTTGCAGGGTGAGTATATGAGGTGACTGTACTTTAGACCACCTCCTTAAACACGTTGATGGAGAAGAATATGGCCTTGATCAACTTTGCTTTACATCTCTTACTCTTGGTGTTAATTGAAAATCTGCTTTATCTTGAAAGTTGTGTCCCGTCCTCCCAGTGTTGTATGGTAGGCAACTGTAAATAGCTAAACTTTGTTTTCAGGCGCGTGTAAGTGGTTTAAGCACTATTAAATTTTGGTATAGCGAATAAATTTCTGAATGCTCAGCATGGAAAGTCCATTGAGTTGAGTGTTCAGGTTTAAGAGATGTTACAGAGATAAAACAAGTGATTTTTTGAGAAAAATCTGGTGGTGTTAGTGAGCACTCTTGATCAGAATTGACACAAAATTTATAATTGTTTGGGTTTTAGGAAAAAAATAGCATTCTGCTGCTGTATTTTAAATTTTTTCTAATAACTTGAAATAAATAATACCTTCTAGTATGTTAGTGTTCAAGCCATGTGACTGAAGTTAAGCATTATACTGATTTTAAAAAAAAAGGTTGAAAATGCTAATTAGGCTATAACATTACCAAAGAAGATTACAAGTAAATGATAGAGTAGGTGGGGTATTTATTATTCCAGAAGTGTCTGAGAGTTTTGCACAAAATTGCACTTTGGTTGGTGGAAAATTACTGTTTACTTGGAAGCATGAAGCTTGCATGTGTAATCCCCCTTGTGCAGGCAGAGTAGGTGTGAGTGTGCTCGTAAACCTTCAGACTAGGCCTTCTAAACTGCAAGAACGTCCCCAAAAGTAACATAATTGTAAGGTATCGAAGGACCAACCGCGTTGTGCTCTCTGCATTCAAAAAGCACATCAGTTAGTTGTCTCTGGCCACAGTAGAGACCTTACTTAAGTAACTTCTTGTTGAATTTTGGCTACGTATTTTGAGTTTTCTAATGCTAGAATTCTAGATATTCAGCTGATCCACTGTGCGTTTGCTATTAAATATAGGCATAAATAGCGAATTCAGTTGCTTAGTATAAGTTAAACTGAATTGACTGAATCTGTTTATAAAATAGTAGGGCATTTGGTAGATTCAATTCTTGAACTGCATATATAATAAAAGTCCACAAAACATTTTTTTTTCTAGTTTCAGTTTTGGCACTAGATTTTATCCTGGAGTTTTTAAATATTCTTCATCCTGTTCTTTTTCTATTAAGGTTAATGTTGAAGAAGGAAAATGCGGAAGTCGCCATTTGACAAGTTTTATAAATGAGAATTATTTGAAGCTCAGGAATAAGTGAAGCTGAAATTTGAAAAAAAAGAAAGTGAATGCATGCTAATTATCAGACCAGAAGTCCCACTTGTAGAATATTGAGCAATTTGTGTGAAGTGGGGAAGATGAAAGAAGTCAGAATTTGAAACGGAAGAATGAAGAAAAGGAATAAAAATGAAGTTAAGATAAGAAGTAATCTGGAATCTGAAAGCACTACGCTAAGTAATTACTAGTCTGTTTATGTGTCCCTGTATATTTTGCTAAACATGCATGCATTATCTGTTTAATAGCAAAAGTATATGCAGGGTAAAGAAGTGTCTACCAGGGAAAAAAAAAAAACTACTTAAAAATCTAGGCAGTTCTAATGCCAACTGCCCGGACACATAGATATGAATTTTTTTACCATTTATTTCACTGGAGCTTGTTTACAGACCTTAGGTAAACGAGAAATTGTGTACAAATTAGGCTTTCAATATCTGCGTGCAGGAATCCCGTTCTGCTTCCAGAAGCGGAAGTGCTCATGGGTCTGGCAAGTCGGGGAGACACACCCCTGCAAGATCTCGATCTAAGGAGGATTCCAGGCGTTCCAGGTCAAAATCTAGATCCAGGTCTGAATCCAGGTGAGTTTATTTCTTTTACCTCTTCCTCCTCTTCGCAAGTCAGATGATTATGTCAGAGATGAACAGAAGTCCAAGGTAGCCCAATTCTGTTTCCAGAGATAACTGGTGATCTGTGGACATTGAATACAAAGGGGCATGTGTGGTTTCCAGATTGAAAAGATAAAACTATCAAGTTGGATCTTTTTGCAGCTTTTTCTAAGAGGTAGTCAGCTACGGAAGCTCGTATCTCTGCCGATACAGTTTGGAGGTGGCCTACTTTTAAAGTCTTAGAACAATGGCTAGTTTCTGAGCATGAAGTGTTAGTTTTTCTGTGCAGTACAAGAAATACATGCATCAGCAGATTGTCCATTTTAGGTCACACTACTGCATTACATTTTCTCATTGGAAGCAATGATGTTTCTGGAGTAGCTAAGGGTATATTCCATGAAAAAAGCAGTAGAGATAAATGTGAATTTCCACAGACATCTGTCTGACCTTTTCAATATATATATTAGTTTAACTTGAAAATTAACAGGCTGGAAAGCTTTAAAGATTAGACAGCTTTCCAAGCTCTCAGAAAAAGTTGTGGAGAAAGCAGCTTGCTTACTGTATTTGTTACATGGCAATGCAAGTGTACACTGTGAAAATGCCTTTTGCACTGTATTGCCTATCCTTATACTCATCTGCTAAACAAACTGTGTGCAGTGACAGAATTCTTCTTAAAACTGTTAACAGACATAACCGAGACACGATATATGACAACAGTCTAAAAAGACTATAAATGTCACTGCTAGCCACTTTGTTAGTTTTGCCAGGTGTATCGTGTAAGAGGTACATATTTAATAAAGAATGAATAGAGGCAACAACCTGTAAAAGGCTGAATGACGTTATTTTCTTAAGAGCCTATATAATTGAGTGCTGACTATGGAAACAAATGTGTTGATAGTTCTTTTACCCATTTGTAAGCGTTCAGGTTAAAAAAAAAAAAGTGGGTTTCAGCAGTGGGGTGTCCAGTTGAACTGTTCACAATATACTTTTTATGTGTCTAAGCAATGAATTAGGCTTACCAAAGCTTAGGGGTCAGGCTGGAGGAAGGATGACGACTCTGGAAGACATTGTGCTATTAGTTATTACCCATGATGGAAAACATTATCAGATACCTTGTTTAGGTCTTTTTGCAAGATCAAAGTGATGGGTTTGAAAGGCTTTTGTGAAAAGGAACTGGAGAATTTTTGAGAGGGGAGGAATGAGCTTGTTTTTTCTGTGTACTTCAGGCACAGTCACAGGTGTCAAGTCATGGACTTGGCAATCCCTGTAGTGCAAGAACAAATGTGTCAAATAAAATTAATAAATACTTGGTAGAGTAATATTGTTTTATAGAGTATGAAATCGGAGTGACCTCTGGAATTTCTAGTAGTGAGAGATTCATAGGACAGCTCAGGAAAGGTCCAGTCCAAAACTCTGCTCAAGGCAGAGTCAGCTCTGGGCTCAGACCATGCTCTCGGGGCTTTATCCAGTTGGAGTTTGAAAACCTCGGAGGGTGGAGACTGCACAACACCTTTGGGGAACCTTGTAATTTTAAAATAAAAGCAAGTCAGGACCCAGCCCAGCATGTCCTTCTGCACCTTAATCCGTAACTCTAGGGATTCTATACTCTTTAAAGCACCATGTTTCTCACTTGCAGAATAACTGTAATACTGTGTAAGAATGCAATCACAAATTCTATAAAATGCTGGAAGAAGCAAATACAAGATCTAGAATTTATGAGAGGCCTGGCAAATCATTTACAAGAAATCACCCTTTAAATAATACCCTGGCAACCTACTTTTTATTTTTTGATAAACAAAAGTAGAAGCTTTTGACTACCACAGCTTCCTGAGCATTTAACAGCTGTCTTGAAAATGCCTATGGCTGGAAATACTGGTAGTATATTGCAGAGTTTTAGAGTGTGTTCATCAGCAGATTTGGGCAGAATTGTGTCAAGGCACGTATTTAGAACCAACGTACTTGCATCTCTTTTCAGTGCCGTCACATGTTTGGATGTGATCATGAGCAGGTCATCTAATTCTGGCTCTCACCAGAGAAATAACCTTGAGAGAACATTCATATTTCTTGGTAGTTTCTGTTGCAAATGTATTTTTGAGTTACCAGCTTTATAAATTAAACTTTGATTTGGGAACAAATCTGTGTCCTGGTGTATTTATCAGTTGGGGTGTGGATATACTTGATTTACAAATCTGCTTCTGTTGACGTTTTCATCAGCAGCATAGCAAGCTTGTTATCTTTGGCTGACTCTCTGAAGTCTAAACAATTCCTAACGAAGGAATAGGATTTTCAGCTGTGGTGGCTTTGCAGCAAAGGAGAATAATGGCAGTATGACATTTAAGGCAGTGCCTATTTAAAATAAGCCTTGTTTTCTGACATGGATGTGCCCATCTCTTGTTCAGTGTAATGGGCGCATTCTGTTACCTGGAACATGAGTTCTGTGGGGTTTTTTTTTTCTATGTCAGCAGCTGAAATGTGGCTGTATGCATGTGTTGAAATTCTTTTTTCATTATTATTATTTCTGTCTTTCTGTACTGTCTTCCCTGCCTTAGGGAAGTTCTCTTTTTTTTTTCTTTCTGTTGCCAAAAATAATTTATTCTTTCTAAATACACAGTTAGAAGTGTTGTAATGGGACACGCTGAATTCATTTCTCCTGGACATGTATATATGCTTCAAGTTGAGGAAGACAGAACTTAGCTGGCTCACTTCCGACGAGGTTGAAGGCTTTTTTTTAAGGAGGCCTGTAACGTACAGAGTGTGTATTGTGCAGTTTGGCTGTCTGGTGATGGTTAGCTAGTGAGAAATCGTGACTCTGGAAGAAGCTGTTAAATGCTCAGGAGTAAAAAACCAGGTTTCAGGTGAAGAGCTTTGTTTATGCCAGTGTAGTGGTGGTGTTACTGTGAAACACGGTTGTGCAATGATAGTAGCTTACGGTCTCGGGCAGTACTTAACTACCTTGGCTTCCACAAACTAGAGGAAGGACATGTAAGACACAAACAAGAGTCTGAAGATTAACAGTTTATGACTATGAGCTGTTGAATATTTAACTGTTTATTGCACTTCTTAGTCTCGCAGCAATTTTCTTTGTAGTTGTGTGGAGTGCAGATGGTTCAGTGACTGCCATCCACAGGCCAAGCTCAGGTGTAGTATTCCATTATAAGTTCCTGCCCAGCTTTTCAACTATAATTGTCTGTGTTGGGAAGGCTGAGGGTTTAGTAGAAGGAACTGAAGTGTTTCAGGACCCCATCTCTATGGACCTAGTGCTGTCAGAAAATTTCTGGAACTGTTCTGAGGTGACCTGGGCTGAAATTAGGGAACAGTTGCATCTTTGCCTAAATACACTTGAAATGTGAACATGTAAACATTAATGAACAGCTAACGTTAAATACCTGTTGAAATACCAGAAGGTAAATAAGGCTAATACTGTGTAATTTCTTCAGTCACGTTAAGTTTTGTTTCAGGGGCATTTGCCAGACTTCTGTGTGTGTAATTATGCACTGTGTAAATAATTGTATTTGCTTTTCAGTGTCATTGAAAGCAGCATTACTTGGAGTGCTAGAATAAGAAGTGTGCACCTCTGCAATCGGTGCATTCTTTGTGTGAAGTCAGATTTATTATTTATTCCTTTTTAAAGAAAGCCACCCCAGCTATTCTTACTTAAATAATACTGTAAATGTTGTGAATATTCTAAGCATAGACTGTGTCAAACCTCATGAGAGAAAGTTAAAAGCTATTGAGGAATTAAAAGCTAACTAAAATGGAAGTTGAGGTTCCTGTTCTGCAGTAGAAATGCTTTGAGAGCATCTACAGTAATCTAATGGTCAAGATTTAGCATGCAGTCCTTGAGTGTAGTGACTAAATTCATTATAGTTGAATCATGTGGTACTGCAGGTTTTTAGAAAATGGTTATATGGGCTTTTTGTTTCTGAATATCTGACATATTTTTGAAGGGCTAAAAAAACCAAACAAACCCAACACTGTACCTTTTTCTTTTTTTTTTTTTTTTTTTTTTTCCCCCCTCAGATCTAGATCAAGGAGGAGTTCCCGTAGACACTACACAAGATCACGCTCTCGTTCCCGCTCTCATAGGAGATCCAGAAGTAGGTCTTACAGTCGGGATTATCGGCGACGACACAGTCACAGCCATTCACCCATGTCTACTCGCAGACGTCATATTGGAAACAGGGTATGTCTGTTACAGAAGTAGATGACTTGTACGTAGTCCTGAATATGTCCTGAAATCACTCAGTCAATTAATTGGGGTCTTCCAGAAGAAGATTCTGCTTCCCACTGGGTGTCTATTTAAAAGATACTGTTGAGATTGTCATTTGGCTTTTGGTAAGCTGTGGGTATACGTTTGCTTAGGATTGTGGGGTGGGGGGGTGTTCTTGTTTGTTTGACTGTTTTTTAACAGATGCCTTTAGAAGTGCTACCAGTGCAGGTGGCTGTCACTATAAATCCGCTGTAATAAATGAGCGAATATATGCAGCAAAGGATAAGGATAGAATCAGGAAGGAGAAATGTTTGTGCTTTTCTTGATTAGATAGCCTGGAAAACTAAAATATTTCATTAAAAGCTGTTTTGGTGGTGTCTTTATTAAATGAGCATGCAAACCAGCTTGCTTTTAGCTGCTTTATGGGTTCAGTGGCTGAGTGCAGTGTGGTTTGTGCTAAAGTAGGGAAAAAGTCATAACTAACACAAATGAAGATGTGATCCAGGCCTCTGTTTGTGCACGTATCTCCCACATTCAACAGGCATCAGCTGGCCTTTGGAGGGAAAACATTTTGCATACAGTACCTATTATGTGCTGTAACTGTAGTTTGTACAGTACCCCAGGGAATGCAAATCACTTTGTGAAAGGAGGCTTGTGTATCTGTAGGCTTGATTGTAATAGTGTCTATTAGCAAGTTAACCCAACCTGAATCTCAGCAGTATCTTGTTGTGATTGCTTTGGCTTGAAACTCTTGATACTCACAACTTGTGAAATACCTTGTGCTGCAAATACAAGCCATTTTATTCTAACATCCATCTATCTATCCCTTCCTTTAGGCAAATCCTGACCCAAATTGTTGCCTTGGTGTGTTTGGATTGAGTCTGTACACCACAGAAAGAGATCTGAGAGAAGTTTTCTCCAAGTATGGTCCAATTGCTGATGTTTCCATTGTGTATGATCAGCAGTCTCGGCGTTCAAGAGGATTTGCGTTTGTGTACTTCGAAAACGTTGAGGATGCTAAGGAAGTAAGTTGGGGTACAGAATGTATGGCGTGTTTGCTGTGTTCTCAGGTGCTGGGGTATATAATCTGTGACAGGATATAGCCTGGGGAAACTCACTGTTTGACCTTTAAAATGGTATTTTAAACCTTCAACGTTCATTCCTTTTGACTATATGAAATGATTGTAATGCAAGTCTGCAGTATCTTCTCTTTCCTGCCTTCTTGGGGCCAAAATGGTGCTTGGTACCTCATAACAAATGTCAAAGTCTTAGTTCAAAAGATACCTACTGTGTACCAGAGGAGAGAGTGGAGAGGCGTGAATACTGGTCCCTGTGCAGACCGAGCTGTTGTGTAATTCACAAAAGCAAACTTGGGGCTAGCTGTAGTGCAAACTATGCCAACAAGAAAAAACAACCGCAGGCTTTCTGATTTGATTGAGATGAGATTCCTTTTGAACTCTACATGTGATATTATATTCGGTAACAGGCATGTTCAGAGTGGACCACGCAGCCATTTCAGAGCTCTCTGTGGGAGCGCTATGTTAGCTTCAGCCTGAAAGGAAGGGGGGGAAATCTCTGAAAATCAAAGGCCAGGCAAATGTACAGTGGCTTCCTGGTCCCTGCAGATGTCCATGGAAAAGCCAAAGGGATTCAGTAAATTGAAGCAGTGTCAATACCATGTAAGAAACTGCAGGATTTGTGCTTATGAGTGCTACAGAATGAACAGGGAATTCAATACTCGTGCTTATGAGTGCTACAGAATGAACAGGGAATTCAATACTCGCCAGGTATGGAATTCTACACTCAAGCCAGCCCTCGGAGAGCAGCATGCTTACAGGCTGTAACTAGGCTTATATTCTGCATAAATTCCACTGCTTAAAGTCTCCAGTGTCGTCTTTTCCAAATTTGACATGAAGACTTCCGTGTTAAGTTGGAGCTCTGGATATAGGTCCTGCTACTTGGTAGAAAAAAAACGATGGTTTTGGTTTTTTTACTTCAGATTTAGTTATGACTCGGATATAACTATATTCAAGGTTATGGTAGGTTTTGAGGATGTATTGGAGGGGAAAAAAATACTTAAATCAATGTACAGTGCTCTTCTGTTAACTTCTAAATGCTTTGCTTCATACTGCATGCTGGAGTAGTTACATCTCCCTATGAAAGCATGTTCAAAGGTTCCTCTTAATCATATTAGAAAAGGAGGTACTGAAACAATTGTTAAATTATGTTTCTTTTAGGCTTTGTATGTAATATATGTCACATTTCAAGTGGTTACTGAAGCTTCTGTCCAGCTGGCCTAGAATATCTTAGAGTTTAGGTTTGTTACGTATGAGGCATAAGTGAAACTTGGACGTGCATCCTAACTGAGCCATTTTAGGGCTTCTCTTACTACTTGAAGCAGTCTTTAGGAACTTATGTGGGGTAATAAAGTTCATACTTAGAGCTCATTGTATTTTAACCCCCTGCTCAGGCAAAGGAACGTGCCAATGGAATGGAGCTGGATGGAAGAAGGATCCGGGTAGACTTCTCCATAACAAAAAGACCTCACACACCTACCCCTGGAATCTATATGGGAAGACCCACTTAGTAAGTTACCTGTGGGGGTTTTTTTCCAAACCAGTACAGGATAGGATTAATTGTCTTGGGCTTTGTTAAAAGCTGGTTTGTATCCCTTCTAAGGGACCTGATTCTGTGTGGTTTTCCTAGTTTATCAGGCTTTTGCATTAAGGCAGTGTTCTGAAAGCTGTTCCCTTGCTTCTGATTTGTGTGCTGTACAGTATATGGATGTTTCAGTACTAGAAACTAAAATACAAAAATCACTGTTGATGCCTAGTTACTTTTTTAAAAAAAGTCTCCTTAACAAGAGCTGTGCTAACACTGATGTGGTTATGTGGTAGAGCTTCTGAAAACTAAAAAACTCCACTGATAAAGGAAGCTCTTCAGAATTTAAAAAAAAAAAAAAGACTACGCGTGGACAGCCATCAGTAGCAATGCATATCTTTCCAACCCTTTAGATAGGAGGGGTTAATTTATATAGCACTTGGACTGATCTAGGGTCAGCCTGGATTACAGTGAGCAGAAACCTGCATTCCTTAGTTACGCAGCCCAGACATGAGCTATCTAAGCATTTAAATAAGTCTACAGTAAGATAATTTCAACAGTTTCTAAATTATTCTAAGTTGTCCTATGTATCTTCAAATATTAATGTATTTTGCAAGCTCAAGTTTTCAAGAGTGAATTAACAAATAGTAGTTGGGCAGCTGCATGGCGCAGTTTGCCCTGTCCACAGAGTATGCTTTTGACTTAGAGTTGCCAAGAATGTAAATTGTTTTCCCAAGACTTTCAGCTTACAGTACTGGTGGTTATGTAATTGATGTTGTGTTGAGACTGCAGGGTTGTGTTTTTATGGTAAAGCTCTTCCAAAAGGAGCTTTCTGAGAGTTAAAAGTGAATGAAGAGTTGTCACAGAATGAGATTTCTCATGACCAAGGAGGAAAGTAGCTGTCTTAAAGTTCGAGCATTTTAAAAAGAAATTATTTAAGTAGTTCTGTTCCCATCTGCACTGATGGGAAAGTAGGAGTGCTCACAATCATTTAATCTGTGAGGACGTGAGGTAATAATATAACCCAGTTAAAAAGATGTATACTTGACTGACTGTACACTTAATGAAGCACTGCAAATGGTATTAATGTTCTATAACATGTTCTATAACAGTGGCAGCTCACGACGACGAGATTACTATGACAGAGGGTATGATAGAGGGTATGATGATCGTGACTATTACAGCAGATCATACAGGTGAGGCAACGTTTGTAATATTGGACTGCTTTTTAAACTGTGTTTTCTCATCTACATTTCTACCTATATAAGTTCAACACTTCATCCTATATATGTGTGTCGAAATATTTTTGCACTCGCTCTCATTCTGGAATCTTGCTATGAAAACTTTACTGAAATGACTGCTCAGTATAAATCTGGTCAGATTGAGAAATACTTTGTGATGTTTAACCTGTGGCTTGAGTTAGTCCATAATGTTTTTTTTATCTGCATTAAGTTTTGAAAAACAAAGTATGTTTTCTGTACTCTCATTTTAAAAGAATCTTTTGTTGGTTCATCTGTTAGCATTGAAATGGTGGGACTACAGGTGCAGATCTAGTATTTGAGTTGGTATTATAATGCCAATTTACCTCTTGAGGTAGGTAGACAAAAAGTGGGAAGTTGCAGTGGTCGCCAGTATCTCATACTAATAATTATGGCACCTCAAACATTGCCAAAAATAAGAAATTGGGGATTGGAACGCTAGCTGTTCTGTATTGGACATACGCATAAAAAAGCCTTTTTAACATACTCTGTCAGGTCGGATGTGTGTGTTTTACTTGAAGTACTCAGGCCGCCTATTTCTGACTGTCTTCAGTCTAAACTTTGGTGTTCAACAGCATAGCAGTTAGCTGAAAGAGGTGAATATTCAGGTGGCGATATGCATTGTCGGAGGGCGAGTAAAGCTGATACAAAATGTGTTGAAAATGTGGCTGGTATGCAGTTGGTTTTGGTGATAGAGCAAGTTTGTCTTCTGCATTTTCTGTTAAGACTGACAACAAGACTTGTCCCCTGTGAAATCCTCACAATTTCTGGGATGCTACTAAGTTGGACACAAAGATAAGAGTTCATTTTTTTTTTTTCTGTCTGCAATTACCAAACATTCCTGTAGTTGCAGAATTGTATAGTCGGACTTCCTAAGCAGTTTGCAAAGATGAAATGCATCAGCAATGGGTGGATTTATGATTGCTCCCTGATGGAAACCATGTATTCCCAGAAATACGTGAATTCAAATTGCATTATCACGTTATAGCTCAGACACAAAGGAAATACTAAATTCTGTGATCTTGGCTTTCAGGGTACTCTTCTGTTGCTTTGGTGTGGAAGAAAATATCTTTATACTTACATTAATAGCTGTATGGTTGCTGTCAGTGACTGAGGGCAGCTATCTCCTCTTCCTATTGCTTTCTGTTTCTCTTTCCTGGGCTGTTGTGTTCCTTCCAATCTGTTTCTCCCTTCCCTGCCTTGCTGTTGTCACTTAAATCAGGTCCCTTGCTTCTACGGTGCTTAAATGCTGCTGTGGAGAGAGAAGGGATCAAGGTGCTCTACATCGTCGTGGTGAGCACAGGAGACAGAAGTGTTCTGCTCGCGTTTCTGCGAAGCAGTCATTAGGGTACTTCTCTGCCTCTAACAGTCCACTTTCTTGAAACATCAGTAGTTTGGACATTTCGGAGAACTGTAGCAGCTAAAATCTGTGAAGTTGATACTGGGCACACAAGAACCTAGATGTATTGGGTTTTCATCTTGCCAGCACTTCTGTGTAGGCTTTCCTAGGAGGAAGACGTGATCCAAAACCAGCTCTTTGACCAAACTTGAGTTTGTTTCGGAGCACAAGGCACAAAAACTTGTTTGGGATGGTTAAGGTAACCTCGTCTCACTTAATGTACTAAAAGTAATCAACTGAAATCTCGGGGGTAAATTAACTGAAGCAGCTCGCCAAAGCGTTTGGGAAAAGACTTGCAACATAACCTGCTGAGCAGTCTGTTAAGTGGTGCTTCTAGCTTGCTTCTCCCACTTCCCATTTTTTTTTGTGTGGGATTCTGATGTAAGGCTATCAAAATGGCAAAGGCACCTAAGGACCAGCAAAAGATGTGGGGCTTCGCAGTGTTGTGTAGGAGTGTTCCACCATCGGCCTTTCTTGCACTTCATAGCACAGGTTTCCTTTTCATTCATAAAGGATCACTTAGGGTGTACTGGTTGTCCTTGAAATCCATTCTTTGTTGCTTGCATGTTCTTAAAATGTAATTTATTCCTTGTTTAGGTTATGGCATGACCCTAAGTCTTTAGTGCTTGAAGTGTTGCATTTTTTCAGTCTTGGTAGTGAACAGTGGCTCAGATGCTTGTAAAACATTATCAGAAGTTGTAATGACATCAGTTTGGGGCACATGGTAGTGAGGATAGTTGCAGAATGTGATGGTGACTGAACGTAGAGAAGAGTACATATGTTAGATGAGGAAGAGCAGGCTGGCAAGAAGTGATGTGAGAAGACGGATTACGTAGCGTACCAGTCTGAGTGTAGCGTAGCAGAATTCGTGACTGTGCTTTGGTCCAGCTCTTTCAGGCAGTTGTGCGCTGGGCGACATTCTGACCTTCCTATGTGCTCTCCCATCCTGTGTCTGTTGTAAACCAGGGCTTTGTGGTGGAAATATTCAGAATATTGACAATTCCAGCAAGAGTGATGTCCATTTCTTATCTAAAAAAACCAAACCAAACCAAAAAAAACCAACAAAAACCCCACACCCCAATGTTTTAAAGCCACACTGCAGAACTTTTATGATGTCTTTTCAGAGTAGATATTGAAAGGGTGGAAGTAAAGCCACAAATGGCTTGTGTGTGGCTATTTTAAAAATATCATGGTCTGCCCAGGTTAGATACCTACTTTCTCATCCCGCAGATATTTGAGGAAGAGAGAAGAACAATGTGGTGTATGTCATAAGTGCTTCCTTGAGGAAGGGAAAGTTAGAATTGTTAAAGATGCAGCAGAGCATTGCACACTAGTACTCCACCCTAAAAAAAATGAATTGGGAACAATTACTTTGCATTTTTCCCTTCCTTGCCCTCTGCGCAGTGAAGCCTTAAGGGAAATACAATTTCAGATGGGAATTGTCGTGTTAAAACTTTAATTTCTCCTCATTGTTGTGGGATGCTGAATCTTGTCTGGAGAAGTATCTGTAAACTGAAGAATAACCTTAAAAACCCCAACTTGCACAGTGGCTAGCCACCAAATGGAGAAGACTTAAAAAAACCTAAAAAAAGAGACCTGCTGTTTGAAAGTGTGGCGTTGTGTTTCGGGGGTTCTTTGTCCTTCATACAATTTACGGCCTTTTTGAGCTGCTGTGAGATGTCTGTGGTGGTGACCGCTCCGTAATCCAAACTTGATTTAACCTCCTCCTGGTAATGCTTTGCTGTATCTAAATCTGTGAAGGTACCAGCCCAACCACTTAATATTGTTAAATACTATAATGTATTATTATGGTTCGAGGCAGCTTCTATATAAGGAGAAGCTGTACCACAGTTCTTAAATGCCCTTGTTTAACCATGATTGTGAAGTGCTAAAATGCAAGGGTGTGGGGTTTTTTTCCTTCCTACTGCTTGGAATCAACTTTTTCCTCAGGACAGTGAATTGATCTTGCTACCTTAAAAAAATAAATAAAGAAAATTGCTTGCCTTGAGTGGGTAAACATCTGAGAACAGAAATTATCTTAGAAGCGAAGGCGATGTACTGATCTTAAATTGCTGCTCGTTGGAGAGTATGACATTGGAAAATACAATATTGGTCAGCTGGAATGCAAGTCGTCTTTAACTGTTCCTTGACACTGAGTTAGCCAACTTATTCCAGGAATACATAAAAAAGAATGAAGTAATTTGGCATTATCCGGTGTAGGATATGGTGTTCTCTTGTCTTCACATCATTTTCTTATGCTTGATTATGCTTTTTGCTTGTATAATGAGCTCTTTGTTACTTTTAAGATTTTAAAAAGTCGTTCTTTTGTATTCACAGAGGAGGTGGTGGTGGCGGCGGCGGAGGATGGAGAGCTGTTCAAGACAGGGATCAGTTCTATAGGTATGACAGGAAAGCTTTCAGTGTCTGGTCAAGGGTGGAAAGATCTTTGACTAGGTTCATAGAATACCGTATATAAATACAGCTTTAAACACATGAACAGAAACTGGGTGGATGCTGAGTACTTGCAGCTCTTCAGTTCATTTGAAAGGTTCCCTTGTTGCTGTGTAAAGGGGTGAGGTTAGTAAAGGGAAAGCTTTGCATGGGAAGAACTTGTGATTTATGCCAGGAAGTTCATGTCCCAAATGTTTTTTATTTATTTTTAATCAGGAGATTAGTGGAACTAGACAAGGAAATGCGAAACCTGGGAGTGCCTGCATTTGGAGAGGTTTGGGGGTGGGATTGGTGGTAGCAGTGACTGCTACTCAAATCAACTCTTCATCTCAAAACAAATACTTTAGATTAAAAGTTAAGGTGTGATCTGTTTTACACTGCTTGTTTGGGGAGCTCTTGGCTTGAAACACTAAAATGGCATGTAGTCAAATTGTGAATGCAGGAGAGATTATATTGCTTTTATTAGTCAAAGTAGTGTTACTCTGACCCAGTAATAAAAAGAGCATTAAAAAAACCTGACATCCAGTGGGAATGTTGATCAGCTCTTTGTGCTCATTAACTTTCCCAAGTACCCTCTTGATAACCTCTCAGGTTAGAGGTATCCACGAAAGCTGCTGCCACTCATCTGCCACACACATTAATGAAGGGATTGTTTCTGTCGCCCTCTTTCACAGGAGGAGATCACCATCCCCATATTACAGCCGAGGGGGCTACAGATCTCGATCCAGATCTCGATCCTATTCACCTCGTAAGTAGTCTTAGAACTCGCATATCAAAAACAAATTTCCGCTTGGCCTGAACTACTTCTTTTGAGGTTTTGTGTCCATTTCTACTTTGCCTGAACTTCTTTTGACATTTTGCGTCCATAAAGACTATTCAACTTCAGCATGGTTCTTCTTTTTGAACCACAGTTCCCTTTAATGGTTTATTGAGCAACTGGCAACCTCGAGGACAGAGCAAATACTTAGTCTGCAAAAAAATAAACTAGGTAATACCACTTGTTAAAGAGTCTGAGGTACCATTTCTTTCTCCGAAACTCTGCTAAACAGGCGTTTGTAGTACACTGATGGTTTGGTTACCTCTAGGACAGCAAGACCGAATTCCCAAGCCTCGCAAGTTCTAACACTGAAACTAAATTTCCCAACAGAACTTGTTAAAGAGGTTAACTTCATCTGAGGTCCTAGTAGTGCTTCCCCCCCTACGAATCGCTTATTTGCCTGGAAGATGAAGCTGCATTTCGATGGCAGAAATTTAACAACGCACAATAGCATTCCTAGCGTGCTCCCTTTGAAACGGATACAGAGTGGAGGAATTGGTTGCCTTCTCATCTTTACCCTTTGCATCCAAATGAAAACAAGCGTCACTGCTTTTACTGATAGGCAGGGACACTGCCCGCTGCAGAACAGCTACACTGTGATTCTCATTGTGTGCTGAAATGTCAGCCTGGGCATGTGGTGGGAATTGGGGGGGTTTCTTCTCGAATTCGATGCAGATTTGCGGTGTGGCAGTGAATTTAGAGAGCAATCTTAAAAACCTGTCAATCCTTGGAAGACTAATAGCGCATCTATTTTGTTTTTTCTTTCAGGTCGCTATTAAAGCATGACACGTAGAGGAATTTCTAGCTACAGCCTTTGAGTTGAAATTGCAAGTTTGTGGACAATATTTTTATTGTCTCTTCTGTTTAAACAAGTGAACAGTGCCTAGTGAATAGGTGACTTTTACACCTTTTATGAAGACTACTTCTGTGATGTTACATGCTGTTTCATTCTGCATATTTGTGTAGTTTGGTGCTTTGTTTCAAGTTGTGTTTTGAAAGGAGTATGTTTTGCATGTATTTTTTTAGTCTCAATTTTGACTCCTGAAAGGTTTCTATTGTAAAGACAAAACTGTTCAGTTAGTTTTTTCTACTGATTCCAAGGTATTCTGAAGATCAAAACCTGTGTAAAATGCTTTCAAAAAGTGAAAAATAAAATAAAAAGAAGTTTGGTTTTTCTTTTCCTACTTTTGCCAAGTATAAGTTATGGGTTAAAAAGAGCCAACAGCGCTTGTGCTGTGTATTCTGGAATAACATTTAAAGCCCAGAAGTAACACCCTAATTCTGTGCTGTAATACCTTCAGGTACGTAAACCCAGTGCGTAAGAGAAGTCCGCATGCAAATTGTGCAGCAGCAGGAGCAAGAAGTGTCATTCAGCAGCGCTGTACGCGTGGAGCGGGACTTGCTAATGAACTCTTGATAATGCTGCTGAGCTTTGAGGTGGGAGAGCCGTTAGATGATCACCCGTAACGTGTAGATCTTTACGGTGAGGGCTTCCTCAGAGTAGGCAACTGTACCCTCAGAGAAGGCAATGAAATAACATTTAGACTATTCTGATTAGTTCTTTCTTATTTCTTCACTGATGTCCTTCCTTTAAAGAGTATATCTTCCCCCGCACATGCAGCTAAAATGCAATATAACTGGCCACTGATGCTTTCCTACCAGCATATATTCTGCCTACTTGGATTCATGAACTTCGTACCCTTGCAGGAAAATTCTGTGCAAGATCTGGAGGTACTTTTGTCAGGCTAGAACTTCCCTCAGCCTCACATCATAGCTCCAGTGGTGACCAAGCATGGAGGACTAGAAAAGGGGGCAAGAGCGGTGAGTTGCTAGGCTACATGGGTCACTATTCTCAGCTTTTGAACACAAGTTCCTCTGTTTTTGTTTTTGGTTTTTTTGGGTTTTTTCCCCCTGCATAGCCATTTCCACACTTTTTTCATGGATTAAGAGCAGTTACAGGACCCTGTGGACCGGCAGTTGGCGGTGGCCATATGAAAACCTTCAGCTCGATATTTGCAAGAGCTTGCAGCGGAGGATGAATGCTCAGGAGCTTGCCCCTGTACTCTTCCTTTTGTTAGAGAATGTAAAACATGGCTGTGTGGGCTGCTGTGCTGGCACTCTGCTATAGAGAGAAGTGCCACCAGAGCCATCACAGTTTGGCATTTAAGTGGCAAGCCTGTTCTACCCCCAAATTTTTATTCTATAGGAACTGCTGTTAATTGTCAGGTCAGCCTAACATAAAACCCAGAGTTAATCCCAGGGCAAGTGTTCATGTACCCTCTGAGCTACATCCCCTCTCTTATAGGAACAGCCACTCATTCGCTGTCCTGTGAAGGCTGAACGCGCTTACAGTTCTTCATTTGGTGCTTCTGTACAGTCCACTTCTCATTTTTAAAATGGGCACCGAATACTCATTTTGGTTGTCAGCTGTGAAGTTACTGCTTGGATTTAAAAGATTAAAAGGGCAAAGGCTACATAGTACATGTGTCATGCTGCATAGGAAGTCTATGCAGCTAGATCTAGGATCTAATTATTTTTTAATCTTACCTCAGGGGAGATGCATTGAGCTTTCCACCATTGTTTCAGGGTGAGAATGGGTTTTGTGCAGAGATGTTGGTATACTCATTTTTTGGACTCAAAAAAACATATGTTCTATACTGATGTAGGGAAGAAAATGCTTTCCCCTTTCGCCCTCGGAAGCAGCTTGGCAAACAGTGTGCAGTCAGGTGAAGCAAGAGACTTCAAGAAATAAGACTTCAAGAAATTGGCCCTACTTGCTGCAGCTGCCTGGAGAGGGAGAAGGCCAACAGCAGTACGGCAGGCGCAAAGGTTTCTGCAAATACCTGGATATTCTTTATAGATCCATACCGGTTTTTACTGTCTGGATGCAAGACTGGACAACAGGATTCCAGCAGTAATTATTTTTAACTCTTAGCAGCAGTAACATCCCATCCCTAACCAAGCTGCTGCTCCCTTTGTCAGCATCCTGTGGGAGAGCATCCCATATCCCTGCACCAGGTCCCTGGCTTACGGACGCAAGCAGGAGCCTTCACTGGATTCCCGCCTGCTGGAGCTGACCTTTCTCCTTTGCAGAGCGGGCAGTCTCTTCCTTCTTTTGACGGCGTTTTCTTAGTCACAGTCCTGCGCTTCCTTTGAATCGCTCAGCAGGCATTGACAAACGGGGAGTCAGAACACGTGTCCTTTGGTAAGCGTCTCCATGAGGATTTCACAACTCGGCCGAGTGGTTCCTGGCAGCTGAGTTCATCCTGTGGCTCGTAGCTGCCAGAAGAGCATCCTCCCACCTCTTACCCGCACGGTGATACCTGGTACTCCTGGAAAGGCTCGGATCTGCTGCGGAACCATGCTCTGGTCTGGGTGAGAGCGAGCTTTTTACCCCGTAGAGGGTACGAAAGGAACTGGGGATGTTTTGTGCAGCGCACCCAGGTGCGCCCTAAAATCCATTTTAAAGCTGTGCCTACAGTTCAGGAAAGCGCCGGCTCCCTGTTGCCTTGCAGCGGGGAGAGCTTTTTTTCTGGGTGTTTCCTTGCTGCTGAATCACTCCCAACTGCTTGTCGGTCCAGAAGGAGCCCCTGCTCCCATGCTCCCCGGCCTGCGCAATGCTGCCCTGCTACGTGGGGATGACAGATCGCTGTGGTATGTGACGCGCTTCTAAACCGCCGCTGAATCACTGCTGGATGTCCTGATGCTCTGCCAGCATCTGAGCGCAGAAGCTCATCGCAGGGGAGGGGGAGAAGCGTGAACCCTCGGCTTCATCCGAAACCCCATCAGCAGTAGGGAAGCATCCTCCGCCCCTGCGAAAGCAACATCTGCTGGGGTGGATGTGAAACGCGGTGCCCTTTGCCGACCCGCTTTCCCGTCAAGCGTAGGACAAACAAAAAAACAACAACTTCAAAAGCACGTGGAGGGGGGAAAGGAAACGGGGCAATGTTTGTGCCCTTGCGCTGCTGGTCTCTCCTCACTGTGTGCAGGTGGAGTTTCCTCCCGGTCGGTTTGTACCTCTCCCGACGTGAGGGACGCTCCAGTCCCTGCAGAAACCCCGAGGGTCCCCGTTGGGGGTGGCGTAGCTGGAAGGAGCTGCCCAGCATCGGCACGCAAGGGTTGGTGTCATGGTTTTAGTATAGTCAGGAAAAAAACATTAAAATCGACTGGTAAGGTGGCTTGCACAAATTAACTTGAAACTGGATCTTGAGAGCATCTGGTCCAGCATGACACAGGGAATGGAGAGCACGGGGCTGTGACTCCGAGTTCCCAAAAATCATATTTCCTGTAGGAACTCCTTCATTTGAGTTCAGGTAATTTATTATTTTGGTCGTGTTTCAGTTCAGGCAAATCAATCGCACCAAAGGCGGCTACTCCCACCCTAAGGGAGCTGCTTTTGGAGCCCAGAGAAGCTGACCCTTCCTTTTCTCCTGCTTTGCTGTGGTGGGTGCAGCTCCTCAGGGCGCTCCTGGGTGCCCATCTCTGGCGCCTGGTCTGCTCCATTGCTGTGGTCCTGGCCAGGCATCGCCTTAGGAGAGTCGGCAAAAGTTCCAGCCTGTGGGGAGGGAGCTTTTGGCAGACTCTGTCTGCCATTCCCATCACTGAAGATTTAATGTCTCAGTGGTGCTTGGCCACTATACAGGTGTAACTAACAGAGACCCAGTCATTAATTCAATTACCACAATAGTTGCCTTCAAAACTTTGTATCCTTGAGTGCTAAGGGCTGATGGACCTGAAAGCCTCTGAAATTCTTGTTAGTGGTGAGTAGATTTTCACTAATGTCCTCACAAACGAACGATTCCTTCATGGCTTGAAAAGTACAGCAGCCTTTTGCAACCCAATTCGGAATGATTTTCTCCGTGATGCTGTCAGTGATGGAGAATCTCACCCTGCCGCAGTGGGCTGCCTTGCTGCTCAGCAAGTCTCTTTGTAAAGGTGACAAATTTAATTCGTAGTTCACTTGGAGAGGGTTTATGTGGGGCTTTTTTTTTTCTTTTTTTTGCTACTGCCCCTCCTCTTGTTGCATCCCTCCATGGCAATGGGCGGCTGCATCCCCTCTCGCTGCTGAAACCCAGCTGGGACTGGCAGGGATGGGGCTGCACGACAAAAAAACATCCTTAAAGATTCAGGGAGATGAGGCAGGTTCCTCCTGAGCCAGGTAGAGCTGGGCTTTATCTGCTGGATTAACGCAGCCCCTGGGGAGCACGGTGGTCCCAGCCAATTTTTCCTCCCATTTACCCAACCTTGGGGCACCCTCCCGCAGCTGTAACCCCCCCACCTCCATTCGGCTGCAAAGAGGAGGCACCTGATTCTGTGCTCTTTGCCTGCCTGGGTTTGACCAAGAGCCCTGGCCAGACCACAGTCGGCATTAACACTTTTCCACCCATGCTTTCACATCCCCTCCCACCGTGGGGGATGCCTGCGCTTCCCTGATCCCCGCAGATCTTGGGGGGATGTGGGATTGATCCCATGGGAACATCCCTAAGCCCGGCTTGCTGCCAGCCCTGCTGAGTGCACCACAACTTCTGGAGCCCCTCTACCGATGATGGCAACACGATGGCTTTGCCGTGCCACAGACTCATTGAGTTGTTGAGGCTGGAAAAGCCCTTTAAGCTCACCAAGCCCAACCGTTCCCATAACCCTGTCATCCCAGCCCCAAACCCTGGCCCTAAGCACCTCCTCTGCCCAGCTTTTAAATGCCCCCAGGGGTGGGGACTTGACCCCTGCCCTGGGCAGCCCCTTCCAGTACCTGACAGCCCTTGTGGGGAGGGCGTTTTCCCAATGTTCAACCTAAACCTGCCCTCCCCAGCAGCCTTGGGCTCCAGACCCCTCCCCAACTTCCTTGCCCTTCTCTAGACATGCTCCAGCCCCTCCATGTCCTTCTGGGAGTGAGGGGCCCAACCCTGAACCCAGCAGTCAAGGGGCAGCCCCACCAGTGCCCAGGACAGGGGCACAGTCACTGCCCTGCTCCTGCTGGCCACGCCAGTCCTGATACAAGCCAGGATGCCAGTGGCCCTCTTGTCCTTCCGTCTGGCTGGAGGCAGCACCCACCATCCCCTCACTGCCCCTTTTCTCTGATCTGTTCCTGCTGTGATGGATGCTCCAGCGTGAGATCCAAG